GTGTGCATGTAGCTTTATACAATTTTATCCCATGTATAGATTTATTAAAACATCACCACAATTGTGATACAGAAGTCTTCCATCATCACAAAGGGAATCCCTCGTGCTACATCTTATTTAGCAACCACTCTCCCCTGTCTCCATTTCCTGGCAACCACTAATCTGTTCTCTATCTCTATAGCTTTATCATTTTGAGAATGTTATATAAATTGAATCATACAATATGTAATCTTTTGAGATTTTCTTTTTAATCAATTCTAATGTCCATGAGATCCTTACAGGATGTTGTGTTTATCAATAGTTCAATTTTTTTATTGCTGAGTAGTAAGTAAGGATGCATGGGAATGTGTTTAACCACTGAATGATATTTAGGTTGTTTCCAGTATTGTTGCTGTTAGGAATAAAGCTGCTATGAACATTCACATGAAGATTTTTGTGTAAAGATAAATTTTCACTTCTCTGGAATAAACACCCAAGAGTGTGATTACTAGGTTATATGGTTAAGTACAAGTTTACTTCCATAAGAAAATGTCAAATTATTTTCCAGAGCAGTTGTATCATTTTACGTTACCACTTGCAATGTATGAGAGATCTAGTTTGCTCACATCCTCACTAGCATTTGGTCTTGTCACTATATTCTATTTTAGCCATTCTGATATCGATGTAGTGATATCACATTTTGGTTTTAATTGGCAGTTCCCTTATGGCTAAAGATGAACATTGAATTTTATTGGTGCCTGGTCTTATCTTAATTATTTCCTTTCTTCTGATGTTTGGTATTCATCTTACACTGCTATATTTCACCTCATTACACTAGTTGGTGGGGGGTAGTTAAGTTTCCCTCTTGCCCTTTCTGACATCAGTGGGGCTAGTTTTACCACTGGTGCTGGTTTGGGATAGGGCAGGTATTGTCAAAACGTTTCTGTTTTTATAGGCTGCCCTTTTCCAAGTCTTTTGGCTAAAGGGTTCAGGCTCTTCTTGTTTGTTTGTATCTTTTTATTTTTGTCTGCAACTGTTGGCATTTGCAGGTGGTAAGCTTCTCCAGTACCCTGTCTGGGATACGTGACATGCAAAAGAAAAACCCAGGTACCTCACCACTGTCTTGTACCTCAAGTCCTGAGGTTCTGAGCCAGTCTGCTTTCTTATTTCTATCTTTCAGAGTCTTCCTATGTTTGTTGTGTCATGTCCTTGGATTTTTAGTCATAAGAGATGGAACTAGGGAGTAATGGGGCTATTGCATTTTGGCCAGAACTGAAAGTCCGAATATATGTTAAAAATTAAATTCAGCATTACAAGCAAAAAAAGAGCTGAAATTGTTGAGAATGCTTTAACTTAATCAGCACACAAATGATTTATACATATCTCAAAATAGTATCTGGATCATATTTCTTTACATAGAAAGCGAAATTCTCATTTTGCGTGAAAAAACTTATGTACAAATTTTTATATAGAAATACTGACATTTTTCATCAATAAATCTCAAATAGCGTGCTCTTGGAAAATTCTTTCATTATCTCTTGATCAACTTCATATCACTGAAAATTATGCAATTCTACCTGTAAAAGCACTTTTATTTTAAAGCCACACACACACACACTATTAAAATCCCCTGTCCTTACAGAGAGGGGGTTAAGCATGGTATTGCTTGGCTTTGGAGAATGAGTAGGGAAGTATTCCATCCTTTTCAAATTTCTGGAAGAGTTTATAAAAAACTGGTATTATTTCTTCTTCAAATATGTGGTAGAATTCCCCAGTAGAGTGATCTGGGCTGAGAGATTTCTTTGTTGGAAGGTTATTTTTAACTAAAAAGATGGGTTTCCATAATAGATGTAGGGATATTCAGGTTCTCTCTCTCTTCTTGAGTTAGCTTTGGTAGTTTGTGACTTTCGGGAAATTCGTCTATGTTGTCCAACTTATTGAATTTATTGGCATAAACTTGTGCAAAATATATTTTTATTATCCTTTTGATATCCCTATAATCTATGGTTACACCTTATCTCATTGTAGATATTGGTAATATTTGTATTCTCTCTTTTATTTTTCCTCATCAGAATGGATAGAGGCTTATCCTTTTTTTTTTTCTTCTCAAAGAATCAGCTTTAGTGTTTGTTGACTTTATTGTTTTTCTGGTTTTTAGTTCATTAATTTCCACTTTAATCTTTATTATTTCTATCTTCTGCTTCCTTACGGTTAATTAACTCTTATTTTTTGCTATTTTCTTAACGTGGGAGCTGTGATCATTGATTTGAGATCTTTCTTCTTTTCTATTATATGCATTTCATGCTATAAATTTCCTTCTAAGTAATGTTATATCTCTATCCCCCAAATTTTTATATGTTGTGCTTTAATTTATATTCAGTTCAAAATGCATTCTAACTTCTTTTTTGATTTTTTCAAAGACTGAAGGGCTATTTAGATGTGTGTTAGTTTCCAAATACATGGGAATTTTCCAGAATTCTTTCTGTTATTGATTTGTAATTTAATTCAACTCTGGTCAGAGAGCACAATTTGTGTTACTTAAAATCCTTTTAAATTTTTTGAGACTTGGTTTATGATGCAGAATATCATCTCTCTTAGTAAAGGTTCTGTGTGCACATCTAAAGAACATTTATGTTGTTGGGTGGAATGTTCCATAAATATCAATTAGAACAAGTTGGTTAATCATATTGTTCAACATTCTTGTATTCTACATTCTTGCTAACTTAGTGTCTACTTTTTCTATCAACTATTGAGAAAGGGTGTTGAAATCCCTGACTATAGTTGAAAATTTGCCTATTTCTCTTTTCAGTTCTGTTTGTTTCTGCTTCATTTACTTTGAAGCTCTATTACTTGGTGCGTAAATGCTTTAGGATTTTTATGTCCTCTTGATGGATTAACAACTTAATATTATGAAATGACTTTCTTTCTCAGTGCTAATAATTGTTTACAATAAAATATAATTTGTCTAATATTAATATAGATAATCCTTATACCTTTTTAGTGATGTTAGGATGGTATGTCTTTTTAGAAACTTTTGATCTTTTTGTGTCTTTATATTGAAAATGTGTTTCTTATAGGCAGCATATACTTGGGTCTTTATATTTAACCCAATATGACAATGTATGCCTATTAATTGGGGTATTTAAACCACTTAAATTTGATTGATTATTGCCATGGTTGGATTTCAATCTACTCTCCAGCTGTTTTATTTTGATTTGTCACATATGTTCTTTGTTCCTTTTTTTTCACTGTTTCTCTGCCTTCTTTTAGATTAATTGACTATCTTTTTTTTTTTTTTTTTTTTTAAAGATTTTATTTATTCAGTTTTTTCCCCCCAAAGCCCCAGTAGATAGTTGTATGTCATAGGTTCACATCCTTCTAGTTGCTGTACGTGGGACTCGGCCTCACGTTGGACGCAGAAGTGGTGCCTCGGGGCGCTCCCGGGATCCGAACCCGGGCCGCCAGCATCAGAGCGCGCACACTTAACCGCTAAGCCACGGAGCCGGCCCTAATTGACTATCTTTTTATGATTTTATTTTATCTCTTGTTCACTAATTTTCTATACTACCTGTTATATTATTTTAGTGGTTGCTTTAAGGTTTATATATACATATGTTACTTATCATAATGTACCTTTAAGTCATATTATACCACTTCATGTATAAAATGAAAACCACACAGTATTATACTTTTATTTCTCTTGTCCCCAACTTTATACTAATATTCTATGTTTTAAACTTTATACTAATATTGCTATGTTTTACTTCTACATGTAACATAAAACCTAAAATATGTTATTGTTATCTTTGTTTTACACAGTCAGTTACCACTTTTTCTAGGTAAGGAGAGACTTTATTTGAAAAGATTGTTCCAAGAGGGGCGACAGGGAGCACTGCAAAGGGAAAATTCTCTGACCATGAGATCTGCAAGCATCTCAAAAGTTAGGAAGAAAAGAGCTTTTCTTTCTTTTTTTTGTATATTGGGACATCATGGCTTATTACTTATGTTTTTTTTGAATTGTGCTAGCATAACATAAAATTAACCATTCTAACTATTTGTAAGTGTACAGTTCAGTGGCATTATGTACATTCACATTCTTATGTGACCATTACCACTATCCATTTTCAGAACTTTTTCATCTCCCCAAACTGAAACTCTGTAGTCATTAAATAATAGCTATGCATTCCCTTCTCCCCCCAGCCTTTGAAAACCACCATTCTACTTTCTGTCTCTATGAATTTGACTACACTGGTAAATCATGTAGGTGTAAACATACAAAATTTGTTATTTTGTAACTGTTTTTTTCACTTAGCATAATGTCTTCAAGATTCATCCATGTCGTAGCATGGGTCAGAATTTTCTTCATTTTTAAGGCTGAATAATATTCCATTGTCGGTGTATATCACATTTTATTTATCCATTCATGTGTTGATAGACAACACTGGAGTTACATCAACCTTTTGGCTATTGTGAATAATGTAGCTATGAACATGAGTGTACAATTATCTATTTGAATGCTTCTTTTCAATTCTTTTGAGAATATACCCAGAAATGGAATTGATGGATCATACAGTAATTTTATTTTTGTTTTTTTTGAGGAACCACCAAACTTTTCCACAGCAGCTGCGCCATTTTATGTTCCCACTATCAATGCACAAGGGTTGCAATTTTTCCACATCGTCACCAATACTTGTTATTTTCTCCATTTTTTTTTGTAATAACCATCCTAATGAGTGTTAAGTGCTATCTCATTGTGGTACTTATTTGCATTTCCTTAATGACTAGTGATGCTGAGCATCTTTTCATATGCTCATTGACCATTTGTGTATCTTCTCAGAATAAAAGTCTATTCAAGTCCTTTGCCCATTTTTTAGTTATTGTTGTTGTTGTTGTCGAGTTGTAGGAGATCCTTAGATATTCAGGATATTAATCCTTTATCAGATACATGATTTGTAATTATTTTCTTCCATTCTGTGGGTTGCTTTTTCACTTTCTTGATAGTGTCCCTTGATGCACAACAGTTTTTAATTTTCATGAAGGCCAGTTAATCTGTTTTTTCTTTTGTTGCCTGTGCTTTTGGTGTCATATCCGAAAAACCATTACCAAATCCAATGCCATGAAGGTTTTCCCCTATATTTGCTTCTAAGAGTTTTACAGTTTTAACTCTTATGTTTAGGCTTGTGATCCATTTTGAGTTAGTTATACTATGTAGTGTAAGGTCAAGGTCCAACTTCATTCTTTTGTTTGTGGATATCCAGTTTTCCCAGCATCAATTGTAGAAAAGGCTGTCCTCTCTGCATTGAATGGTTTTGGCACTCTTGTTGAAAATAATTTGACAATATACAAGAAGATTTATTTCTGGGCTGTCTATTCTATTCTGTTGGTAAATATTGCTGTCTTTATGCCAGTACTATACTGTTTTGATTACTATAGATTTGTAGTTAGTTTTAAAATAGGGAAATGTGAGACCTCCAACTTTGTCCTTGTTTTTCAAGATTGTTTTGGCTATTTGAAGTCCCTTGAGATTCCATATGAATTTTGGGATTGATTTTTCTATTTCTACAAAACATATCGTTGGGATTTTGATAAGGATTGCATTGAATCTGTAGATCACTCAGGGTCGGATTGACATCTCAACAATATTAAGTCTTCTAATCTGTGAACAATGTCTTTCCATTTATTTATGTTTTCTTTAATTTCTTTCAGTGATGTTTTATAGTTTTCAATGTGCAAGTCTTTTACCTCCTTGGTTAAATTGATTCCTAAGTATTTTATTCTTTTTGATTCTATTGTAAATGGGATCATCTTCTTAATTTCCTTTTAGGATTGTTCATTCTTATTGTATGAAAATGCAGCTGATTTTCGTGTGTTGAATTTGTCTCCTGCAACTTTGATGATTTTTTGTGGAATCTTTTGGTTTAATAGCATACGTTGTCTGGGAAAAGAGATAATTTTACTTCTTCCCTTCCAGTTTGGATACCTTTTATCTCTCTTTTTTGCCAAATTGCCTTGGCTAGAACTTCTAATACTATGTTGAATAGAAGTGGCTAAAGAGCGCATCCTTATCTTGTTTCTAATCTCAGAGGAAAATATTTCAGTCTTTCACCATTATGTATGATGTTAGCTGTTATTCATATATGGCTTTTATTATGTTGGGATAGTTTCCTTCTATTCGTAGTTTATTGGATGTTTTTAATCAGGAAAGATTGTTGAATTTTGTCAAATGCTTTTTATGCATCAATTGAGATGATCATGTGGTTTTTCTTTCCTTCATTCTATTAATGTTGTGTATTATATTGATTTATTTTAGTGTGTTGAACCATCTGTGCATTCCAGGAATCAATCCCACTTAGTCATGGTGTATAATTCCTTTAATATTCTGTTGAATTCTGTTTGCTAGTATTTGGTGGAGGAGTTTTGCATCAATATTCATCAAGGATATTGGTCTGTAGTTTTCTTTTCTTGTAGTATCTTTTTCTGACTTTGGTATTAGGGTTATGCTGGCCTCATAGAATGAGTTAGCAAGTATTCCCTCTGAAATTTTTTGGGAAGAGTTTGAGAAGGAATGATGTTAATTATTCCTTAATTTTTTGTATAACTCACCAGTGAAGTCATCTGGTTCTGGACTTTTCCATGTTGGGAGATTTTTGATTACTACTTCAATCTCCTTACTAGTTATAGGTCTATACCTAGTAAGTAATTTTCTATTTCTTCATGATTCAGTCTTGATAGATTATGTTTCTATAAATTTGTCCACTTCATTTAGGTTATGCAGTTTATCAGCAATCAATTGTTAATGGTACTCCCTTATAATTCTTTTATTTTCCAGTTTTATTGAGATACAATTGGCATATAACATTGCATTAGTTTAAGGTGTACAACATAATGTTTTGATAGATGTATATATTGTAAAATGATTACCACAATAAGTTTAATTAACATTCATCACCTCACATAGTTACACAATTTTTTCTTTTTTTTTTTTGCTGGGAAAGATTCACTCTGCACTAACATCTATTGCCAATTTTCCCTTCTTGTTTTCTTTCTTTTCTCCCGTAAGCCCTAGTACATAGTTGTATATTTTAGTTGTTAGTCCTTCTAGTTCTTCTATGTGAGCGGCCACCACAGCATGGCTACTGACAGACAAGTGGTGTGGTTCTGCACCCGTGAAGTGAATCTGGGCTGCCTAAGTGGAGTGCGCTGAATTTTAACCACTAGGCCATCAGGCCTGGCTCTTGTGATGAAAACTTTTAAGATCTAATCTCTTAGCAACTTTCAAATATACAGTACAGTACCATTAACTGTAGTCACTATGCTGTACATTTCATCCCCCAAACTTAACTTATCTTATGACTAAAAGTTTGTACCCTTTGACCACCTTCACCCATTTACCTCATTCCTCATCCCCCACCTCTGGCAACCACCAATCTGTTCTCTGTTTTTATGAGTTTGTTTTTTTTTAGATTCCACAGATAAGTGAGATCATACAGTATTTGTCTTTCTCTGTCTAACTTATTTCACTTAGCATAATGAACTCAAAGTCCATCCATGTTGTTGCAAATGGCAGGATTACCTTTTTTATGGCTGTATAATATTTTATTTTAAATATATACCATATTTTCTTTATCTATTCATTCATCAATGGGCACTTAGGTTGTTTCCATGTCTTGGCTATGGTAAATAATGCTGCAATGAACAGGGACTGCACATATCTTTCCAAGATAGTGATTTTGTTTCCTCAGATATATACCCAGAAATGGGATTGCTGGATAATATGGTAGTTCTATTTTTAATTTCTTGAGGACCCTCCAGTGGCTATCTAGTTTTTCCAACACCATTTTTTGAAGAGACTATCCTTTCCTCATTGTATATTCCTGGCTCCTTTGTCATAAATTAATTTATCATGTTTGCATGGGTTTATTTCTGGGCTCTCTATTCTGTTCCATTCATCTATGTTTCTGTTTTTATGACAATACCATACTGTTTTGAATACTATGCCTTTGTGGCATAGTTTGAAATCAGGAAGTGTGATGCCTCCAGCTTTATTCTTCTTTCTCAAGATTGTTTTGGCTATTTGGGGTCTTTTGTGATTCTATACAAATTTTAGGATGCATTTTTCCTACTATTGTGAAAAAAGTCATTAGAATTTTGGATTGCATTGAATCTGTAGATTGCTTTGGGTAGTATGAATATTTTAAGAATATCAGTTCTTTCAATCCACGAGCATGGAATATCTTTCCATTTATTTGTGTGTTCTTCAAATTCTTTCATCAGAGACTTGTGGTTTTCAATGTACAGATCTTTCACCTTGGTTAAATTTATTCCCAAGTATTTTATTCCTTTTGATGCAATTGTAAATGGCATTGTTTTCTTAATTTCTGTTTCTGATAGTTTGTTATTAGTGTGTAGAAATGCAACTAATTCTTGTGTATTGATTTTGTATCCTGTAACTTTACTGGAATTATTTATTAGTTCTAACAGTTTTTTTTTGATGAGGAAGATTGGCCTTGAGCTAACATCTGTGCCCATCTTCCTCTATTTTGTATGTGGGATGCCGCCACAGCATGGCTTGACAAGCAGTGCTTCAGTCCATGCAACCAGGCTGGCCCCTCTAACAGTTTTCTATGTATAATATGTCAACTGCAAATAGTAACAGTTTTACTTCTTTCTGATTTCAATGCCTTTTGTTTCTTTTTCTTGCCTAATTGCTCAAGTACTATCTTGAGTAAAAGTGGCAAGAGTGGGCATCCTTGTCTTGTTCTTGATCTTAGAGGAAAGCTTGTAGCTTTTAACCATGGAGTATAATGTTACCTGTGGGCATGTCATATATAGCCTTTATTATGTTATAATTATGTTATAATTCTTTTTATTTCTGTAAAATTGGTAGTAATATCTTCACTTTCATTTTAGGTTTATTTATTTTAGTCTTTTCTCTTTTTTCTTAGTCAGTATAGCTAAAAGTTTGTCAATTTTATGGATCTTATAAAGACTCAACTGTTGGTTTCATTAATTTTCTCTATTGTTCTTCTATTCCCTCTTATTTATCTCTGCTCTAATCTTTGTTATTTCTAGCCTCTGCTAGCTTTAGGTTTAGTGTGTTCTTCTTTTTTAATTCCTTAAAGTGTGAAGTTAGACTGTTGATTAGAGATACTTATTCTTTTTAATGTAAGAATTTATACCTATATATTTCCCTGTTAGCACTGCTGTCACTACATGCCATAAGTTTGGGGGTTGTGTTTTCATTTTCATTTGTCTCAAAACATTTTCTAATTTCACTTGTGATTTCTTCTTTGACTCATGGTTTTTTAAGAGCGTGTTGTTTAATTTGCACATATTTATGAATTTTCCAGTTTTCCTTCTGCTGCTGCTTTCTATTTCCATTCCCTTGTGATCAGAAAAGATACATTGTATGATTTAAATCTTTAAAAATTTGTTAAGACTTGCTTTGCTTCTTGACATATGGTCTACCATGGAGAATATTCCATGTACGCTTGACAAAAAATGTATATTTGCTGTTGTTGGGTGGAGTATTCTGTATATGTCTGTTAGGTCCAACTGGTCTATAGTGTTGCCTCAAGTCTTCTATTTCCTTGTTCATCTTCTGTCTGATGTTCTATCCATTATTGAAAGTAGGGCATTGAAATCTCCTACTATTTTTGTAGAGCTTTCTATTTCTCTCTACAATTCTGTCAATGTTTACTTTGCCTATTTTGGAACTCTGCTGTTTGGTGCATATATGTTTAAAATTGTTACATCTTCTGGCTGAATTGACCCTTTTATCAATACATAGTGTCCTTCTTTGCCTCTTGTAACAGTTTTAAAGTTTTTAACTTGGAGTCTATGTTGGCTCGTGTTAGTATAACCACCCCTGCTCTCTTTTGGTTACTATTTGTATGGAATATCTTTTTCCACCTTTCCATTTTCAACCTATAGGTATCCGTAGATCTAAAATATCCTTTGCCTGTGATGATCTAGATATAAAAATGAGAACTCTTTTTGTCCCTCATTTCTTCCGTTACTGACTTCCTTTGTCTTTATTTGACTTTTTTGTAGTGACATATTTGATCCCTTCTCATTTCCTTTTGTGTATATTCTATAGATATTTTCTTTGTGGTTACCATGGGGATTTCATATGACATCCTAAAATTATAACAATCTTTTAAAAATTAATATCAAGTCCTCTTCAATCACATACAAAAACACTACTCCTTTAAAGCCCCACCTCTCCGACTTTATGTTACTGATGTCACAAATTACATCATTATATAGTGTACACCCATTAATATTGATTTATAGTTATTCTATGCATTTGTCTTCTAAATCCTATAGAATATAAAAACTGTACTTAAAAACCAAATTACAATAAACTGCCTTTTATATTTGCCCATGTATTTACTTTTACTGAAGAACTTTATTTCTTCATATGGCTTTGAGTTACTATCTAGTACCCTTTCATTTCAATTGAATGGACCCCCTGTAACATTTTTGGTAGAGCAGGTCTAGACATAATGAACTCGTTCAGCTCTTACATACCTGGGAGTGTCATAATTTCTCCTTCACTTTTGAAGGATAGTTTTGATGGATGTAGAGTTTTTGTTTGTCACTTTTTTCTTTCAGCATATTAAATGTCATCCCACTGCCTGCTCTCCTCCATGCTTTGTGATGAATGTGAAGGGTCACATCTCTCTTGTTGCTCTCACAATTTTCTGTTCATATTTGTCTTTTGACAGTTTGATTAAAATGTGTCTCAGTATGGATCTCTTTGAGTTTATCCTACTTGGAGTTTTTTGATCTTCTTTTATATGTATGTGTATGGCTTCGATTAAATTTGCTACGTTTTTGGCCAGTATTTCTTCAAATATTCTTTCTGACCCTTTCTCTCTCCTCTTTCTTAGACTCCCATAATGATAAGATCTGCTTGATAATATCCCATAGGTTCCTTAGGCCCTCGTCACTTTTCTTCATTATTTTTCATTCTGCTTCTCTAACTGGATAATTTGAATTGTTCCATCTTCAAGTTTGCTGATTCTTTATTCTGCCTGCTCAGATCTACTATTCAATCTCTCTAGTGAATTTTTTCATATCCACTATTATACCTTCCAGCTTTTGAATTTCTATTTGTTTCCTTTTTACAATTTCTGTCTCTTCATAGTTATTCTCATTTTGTTCCTATATTGTTTTCCTGGTTTCCTTGAGTTTATTTTCTATGATTTTATTTACTCTCCGATCATATTTAATACAGTGATATGAAGTATTTTTTTAGTAATTCCAATGTCTGGACTTTCTCAGGGATTGTTTCTTTCAATTAATTTTTTTCCTGTGAATGGGCCATACTTTCCTATTTCTTTATATATACTGTGATTTTTTTTTGTTGGAAACGTAACCTTTGAATATTATAATGTAGTAAGTGTGAAAATCAGATTCTCCTCTTTCCCCAAGGTTTGCTGTTTTTGATTGTTGAAGGCCGAAGTCATTCATTTATTTAGTGGATTTTCCAAATCTTTCTTTAATACCAAGACTGTATTCCCTGTCATATGTGATCACTGAACTCTCTGTTCCTTTAGCTTGTGTTCAACTAGTGTTTTGACAGAGATTTCCTTGAATGCATGGAGCTAAAAATTTTTTAAAAGATGAAAGAATTAAAACAACCCCCACTTGTCCCAGTCTTTGCAGATTGGCTCTGTGCTGTGGCACTTCTTCAACACTTAAGCCAGGCTATTTACAAATTTGCTTTAGCCTTTACTTCAGGCTTATATTGAGCCTAGATATCAACTAGTGGTAAAATCTCAGGATCTTCTCAGATTTTTCTGAGCATGAGTCCTACCCTGGTCTTGCACACAGCTTTCTAAATTCCTCACTATTAATGGATATTTTTGAATACCCAATTTCCTGAAGAAATTTTCTTCCCAGCTTTTCCTCTGAGGCTTTACATGGTCTATTGTATATCTCAACTGTAATCTTTTGCCCTAGGGATGGCAGGTTTTTCATTCACCTTATAATGCTTTTGAGCCATGCCCATCACTTTTTGTTCTAAGTTAGGCAAAACAGAAACAAGCACCTGTGTCAATCCTTCAGATAGTCCACAGGCGGGTTAAAACAGACAAACACAATAATTGCAAATAAGCTCTGCTCTGCTTTCTCCAGAACCAAGGACCAGGATCCCAGACTGGAAATACAGGCTGCCATCTTCAAGACCACAACTGATCTGGGTGAAGGGTTGGCAGAGGGCAAATGAAAATACCGTAAAGATTTTCTAATTCTTTTAAGTTGCCTTTTTCTTGATATAACATTAACTTGGTTGTTGTAAACTGACTGTTTCCCAGAGTTATGACAAAGTTGATTCTAATTGTTTATTCTTTAAAAAAATGTTTCTATGTAGGACCTGGAGTTTGGAGCTTCCTGCTCCACTATTTTACTGATATCATTTTCTCATATTATCCTTTTTATATTATTGCTGGATTCTGTTTAAGAACTTAAAACTGTATTGAGCTTTTTGTGTCTATGTTTATGAGAGATATTGATCTTCAGTATTTTTATCTATTGTCTTTGTCTGGTTTTGATATCAAGGTCATTTTGGCCTTATAAAATGAGTGAGGAAGTGTTTCCTCTGTTTCTATTTTCTGCATGATACCATGTAGAATTGGTAGTATTTCTTTCTTAAATATTTGGTAGTATTCACCAGTGAAATGATCTGGGCCTGGAAATTAATTTTTCTTTCAGTAGTTGTAATCTCTGAATTTAATGTCTTTTATAGATATAGAACTATTCATTTTATCTTTTTTATCTTGGTGAGTTTTGGTAGTTTGTGTTTTATATTAAACTTCTCCATTTTATCTACATTGTTCAATTTATATATTTAGAGTTGTTCATAGTATTCCATTATTATCTTTTTAATGTCTGAAGGATTGTAGTGTGATCCTCTCTTTCATTCCTAATATTGGTAAATTGTGTCTTATTTTCTCTTTGTCTCTTTTGCTAGAAGCTTATCAATTCTACTAATCTTTCCAAGAGATGCTTTTGGTTTTATGGATTCCATTTCTTTCTTATTATGACTCTCTTTATTTTTGCTCTTATATTTATTTTTTCCTTCCTTCTGTTTGATTTGGTTTTATTTTACTCTTCATTCTCTCATTTCCTAAATTTGAAACTTTTCTTCTCTTAAAGTAGTTATATACTGCTACAAATTACCCTCTAAATACTGCCTTAACTGTGTCCCACAAATTTTGGTGTTTTGTATTTTTTATTCAGTTCAAAATTTACTAAATTCCCTTGAGATTTCCTTTTTGACTAATGAATTAATTAGAAGTGTGTTATTTAATTTCCCAGTGTATGGAATTTTTTACTATTATCTTTCTGTTATTGATTTCTAGCTTAATTCTGTTATGGTCAAAGAAAAATCTTTGTATGATTTTGATTATTTTTACTTAGTTAAGATTTATTTTATGGCCAGGAAATGGTCTATCTTTTTTAATGCTCTATATGCACTTTAAAAGAATGTATATTCTGTTATTATTAGGTGCAGTGTTCTAAAATTATTAATTAAATCTAGATGGGTAATGGTACTGTTGTTTTATTCTTACCCTTGTTAATTTTCTCTTTGTTAGTTCTATCTACTGCTGAGAGATAAGTGTTGAAATCTCCAACTATTTTTGTGAATTTGTCTATTTCTCTTCTCAGTTCTGCCAATATTTTTTTTCTTCAGGTATTGTGAAGCTCTGTTGTTTGGTGAATATGTATTTAAGATTGTTACTTTTTTTGGTGAATTGATCATTTTATCATTATCATGATGTCAATGTACCTCTGTATTGCTGGCAACTTTCTTTGCTTGGAAGTCTACTTTGTCTGATATTAAGATAGAGGCTCTAAGTTTCTTTCGATAATTTTTTGCATGCAATATCTTTTTCTATCATATTGCTTCTATCCTACATATATTATTATATGTGAAATGAGATTTTTGTAGACAGCATATATTTGGGTCATATTTTTATTCTTTCTGGAAATCTTTCCCTTTTAATTGATAAGTTTAGACTGTTTGCATTTAAAGTAATTATTGATATGCTTGGATTTAGGTCTAAACTTAATTGTTATCTCTTTCTTCTCCCTGATCTATATTCCTCCATTTCCCCTTCCTGCCTTCTTTTGCATTATTTCAACATTTATTAGTATTCCATTTTAATTTAACTTTTTGTGTTTTTTACTTTACCTCTTTGTATAAGTATTTTGGTGATTGTTCTAGAGATTTCCATATAGATACTTAACTTCTAACAATCTACTTAGAATCAATATTGCATTATTTCAAGTGGAGTATAGAAGCCTTAACACCTTATAAATTCATTTACTCCCTCCTTTATGTTATATTTGTCTTATATACGCATACACTGAAAATCCCTTCAGTGTTACAATTTTTTCTTTCAATCATCAAACGTATTTTAAAAAATAATAAATGAGAAGATTAGTTTATTTACCCAGATATTTACCATTCATTTTGTTATTTCTTCATTCTTGATATTCCAAGTTTCCTTCTGGTTTTAGTTCTCTTCTGTCTAAGTGAAAAACTTCCTTCAACATTTCTGTTAGAGAATATCTGTTGGCAATGAATCCTCTTAGTTTTCCTTCTTCATGGAATGTCTTTATCCTTCATTTATTAAAGATATTTTTTTGGATATAGAATTCTTGTTTGGAAATTCTTTTCTTTAACGCTTGAAAAAAGTTTTGCTTCCTTTCAGCCACTATGGTTTCTGATGAGAAATCCAGTTATTCAAGTCATTGTTCTCCTATAGGTAATGTGCCATTTTGTCTTGCCTGCTTCAATATTTTTTATTTGTGTTGTTTTTCAGTAGTTTGATTATGGTAGGTATGGACATGTATTCCTTTGAGGTTATCTTGTTTTAAGTTTCCTGACCTTCTTAAATTGGTTGGTGTATGATTGTTACCAATTTGGAGAAACTTTCAGCCATTAATTTATCTAATAATCTTTCAACACTGTACTCTTTTTCATCTATTTCTGGGACTCAGATGACATGACTGTTAGAACTTTGATATTGTCTCTGAGTCTCTGTTAATTTTCAAATGACATTCCTCCCTGAAAATTAATTGAACACCTAGTAAACAATACTAGGGTGAGAGGATAACTAGAAATGATAATTATGGAATTTAAAAAAAGAGATAGTGAAATTAGTACATATCAGGACACACATGAAAAGCATGATCAGAGGAAAATTCAAAGCCTTACACTTTTTTTATCAATAACAATTAAAGAATGATGAAAATAAATTAAATTTACAGCTCAGAAAGTTAAAAAAACAACAAGGTAAATCAAAAGGAAATATAAGGAAAGACATAATAAATATAAAATAAGGAAGCAGAATATAATAATGATATAGAAAAGGGAAAAACATTGTTTTTCCTGGTTTCTTGAAAAATATTAGTAGACATACCCCTAGCTAACATAATCAACAAGAAAAGAGAAAGCAAAGAGGTACAAAATAAGAAATTACAAGGGGAGATAAAACTATTGAATCAGAAGAAATATTAAAATGTATTTAAGCTACTTTGCAGATTTCTCTGAAAGA